TAGAAATATTTCAGTCAAAATAAGAAATACAAGATAAAGTCACTATCTCCTTCATCTTTTTCTAATATAACTCATTTTGCAAACAGTACTTGGCTGACTATTTAAGCAATTGTTTAATTTATTTTAATATTTTATTAAGTTAAGCATATCTTTGTGTATGTAATGGTGGTAAATCATTTTTTTAGTAATTAAAATCCATTATGAAAACCTGTTTACGGAGTTTGAATATATTAGGGGTTTGAAGAAAAAAAAAGACTTACATTGAGTGAGTGTTTACCCTGATTTAATCTCCTACTTTGAGATATTTGATTTAATTAAAGAAATTAGGTATTGAGTTGCTAACGTGGTTTGGTTATGATTGTTATATAAAATTGAGCTCACGATAACAACTAGAGTTGGACATCTTACATATAAAAGAATTCGTTTATAATTTAAAATATTTGCATGAATATTTTCCTATTATTTTGGGCAGTAGTATAATTCTATTCCAACTAATTCCCTATATTCATGCAACCCTACTCATTTTTCTTTTTTGTTTCTTTGCAGTTTTGTATGTTTTTTAGGGCAATTTGGTATAGGTCCCTCTATATAATAATTTATGTGTATAAATTCAAGTCAAAATCTCCATGTTTTAATAAATAAATAATATTTATTGTGGCAAAAATATAATCAAATCAAATCAAATCCTAAAAAATCTCTCTATCAAAACAAAGTTTCAAACATCATTCTTCCAAATATTAACTAAAAAATTAAATTAATTTGTCAAAAAATGATACTATTTATTTTACAAACTCATACTCTGGAAACGCCACCGCCACCCGCCTATGACTCCGTGAACTGCAAATAGCAAACTGAAAATTAGGATTTGTATTATTGAATTGTAAACAACAAAATACCTATGATTTCGCCAAAAAATGCAAACAACAAACTGAAAAAATAATCCAGAATTTGCTTTATTGAACTGCAAACAAAAACTACCTATTGACTTCGCCAAATACAACAGCAAACTGAAGATTTTTTTTTTTTTTTAACTTGCATTATTGAATTGCAAGCAATAAAACTATCTATGACTTCGCCAAATGCAAACAACAAACTGACAAAAATAAAATCAACATCATCAAAACATCAACAAAAAAATATTTATGAAACACATTGCAAACAACAAAATCATTAAACATGGTGTTTTGTTAAATGTAACTTAAGACATACCTTATAAATTCTAAACCTTGAGGAATTGAATCTCAACTCGACACGCAATTCTTCAAACAATAACGGAGTTTAACCAACTTGCAAACGAAAATTGCCAACAACAAATGATGGGAAGATTCTACATACGGACGATGCGAATTTTGGAAGGATTTTAGATTTCTGATTTTTTTTTAGAGGGAGATGGATATTTGTTGTCCTCTTTAATTTTTTCACCTACAAATCATCTCATAAACTAAAAAGATCCCTTTTTTTTCTTCTTTATATATTTCTTCATAAAAAACAAATAAAGAAAAGAAAAGGAGCAGCACGAGAGAAAAGAGAGAGAAGCATAAGATACAGAGGGAGAAGAGAGAGATGAGAGATTAAATATATGCTGAGAGAAACGTGAGATTGGAGAGATAAATATATGAGATTTGTTTTTCTTGTTCAAATTTTTCCTTTTCTTTCCTTAAACATAAAAGTGAAACGACGTTGTTTCACAAAATAATAATATTAAAAAATGTGTTTTAGAGCAAACCAGAGGTCATCGGCCGGTTCGCCGGTTCGACCTGTGTTCCTGCCATTTGGACCTAATTTTTTTATGTCTTCGGTTTTGAGAGTCAGGCTGAATCGTTTTACGGTGGCTCGTGGTCAAACTGGTCGGACCGACCGGTCCGGTCTGATTCTGACAACATTGGTGATCGATTGATCAAATAGATGGCACGATCAACCTTTTCAGTCCGAAACTCCGATGAAATATTTTTATTTTTTCAACATAAATTGAACCCTATCCACGATTGTTTAATTTTTTCGCTCCGCCACGCCATTTCATTGCGGTGTATACTAGGTCTTCAATTCATGTCTAATCCCATAGTAGTAGAGTAGATTGTTATATGTATACGTGAGATTTATTCAGTTCCAGTTTGTCAATTATTTTAGAAAATTATGGCCTGCTTTGGCCTTACTCTATACAATGCCGGAGTGGCCTCCAAAAATATCAAAATATCTCCCTAAGTCCCTATATTCAAGTTCCGAACATCGACTCCAAAATTCTCGTGTTTTTCTTCTTGTTCATCCCCGTTTCATATTTCTCCAGAAATTGCTCGGACTACCAATTCCCAAATAACAAAAGGAATTTATAATTCTTATAAAGAGTATAGGTGGAAAAAAAGATTGATATATTGATAAAACAAGCTATAAGAGATACTTAAAATGTGATTTTTTTTATACATTTATACTGATTCAATTTTCTAATGGATGGTGGATTGATTTAATCCTCTATGGTTGGGAGTGGCTTTCTAGAGCACTGAGGTTATTTTGAACATATTCTAGAAACTGAAACACAATAAGAAATTTAGAAATCTCTACAATACAATAAGAGCTTATTATCCTTCTAGAATATTTCTATCTCAAAATTCCTATATGTATTTTTTTCTTGTGCGCTTAGTCTAGCGGGATCATCTTTAGCTCAAATATTATAAAATTTGGTCCAAACTACACGGACCGTGGCTCTCACCTTCGAATGATTACATTTAATACCGTTTATGTGATACACTATATTCATAAGATAATATGACACCAACTACTTACTAAGTTTTCTAATGATTAACAAGGTAAAATTGCCTTAAACTTCGTCAATTTGTGGTTGGTGATCGAGAATTATTTCACACCGCGAAACAAGTTTCACTTTGTGATTTTATTTTTCTAGATTATAGAGGAGCCGAATGCAATTAACTCGACAACGATGGTGGTCGGTTTAATTCCCTCATAAGCTACCCAATGAAAGAAAATGATATTGATTTATTTGAGGCCACAAGCGTTTCATAATTACCTACGCGGCAGTGTCTTATGTGAAATGACATTGTAAATGTCCTTGTTCGCCAACAATTCCATTCCAACAAAATATAATTACGAGACTAGTAAAATATGAAGAAAAAATAAATATACTTATCAAAACAAAATGGATTACAATCTGTGGGGAACTTCATGATTCTTTTTTCCTAATTTAATTGAAGGGCTTGAAGCGTGTTCTTGAATCAAATCAGTAATTCCCTCCAAAATTTACTGAAAAAATCACAAACAACTTGAATCCCGGTATGTTATAAATTCGATGCGAAAACTTGAGACTTGATATGTGTGTATGTGTAAGTCTGTCTTTTGCATGTACTGAAGACTTACGTTTTATAGGCACCAACTACTTTTTCATAACTTGGAACTTGGATAAATGGGCTTGATAGTTGCCAATTGATTTCTTTGGGCCCGATTAGCTACTTAAAAGATAATCCAATTAACCTAGTTACCATCTTTGAAAAACCCAAAATTCTTATAAATTTTGATTTGACAACCAAATTAATAATCAATTATCTGGACTATTTATTGATGATTTATCCCAAAATTCGGATGTCAAATAAATTTGAGTCAAATTTTGAGAGAATATTTTTTTAATGTTGCTTTTTGAATTTAATTTTTGGCCAAAGAAAAAATAAATTAAATTCTTGTGTCATGGGTTTATACGAGATTACTCCATTAAAAACTATCACAACTCCTATGTACAAATAAGAAGTATAAATAACGATTTTCCAAGAAGCCTTCACTTTAATTAATTGATATTTGTTTCTATGAAAACATACATAAATAAGAAAACTGTTGGTATCTACAAAAACTCCAAGGAATATATTAAGGATTCATATGCATCTCTTAGTGAAAAATTATCTTGAATAAAGTAATGGTTGTGCCATTTGTTAGGAATTTGTAGGACCTCAGACACCCTATCAGTTATTCTAAAATTAATTGGCGCGCTATGCGGGCAATTGATGTTGAACCGCTAACAATATTCGTTCCGCAATTGTTCTCGTTGGAAATCAAACTCGTGATCTTGGCTTTGATACTATTTGTAGAACCTCAGATAATATCAATTACCCTAAAACTAATTGGTGCTAGGGAAAACAAAAACCCTAACCTTATAGTACATTAAACATGCACCCACAATATTTGATTGTGGTCCACTCATACCCGAGCATCCACCACATGCACAATTTTTGTGAAACCTAGACTAACAAAATCATATAAATTTATGATTGATAAATATAAAGTTTTTCTATTGATCGATCTTATAGGTCTCAGTTGGACATCCATGTGTTTCGAATTGAATTACAGAGAATTCCTTTAGGGTCCATTTGGATGGAGGGAAGATTTCAAATCCATAATAACAAATCCCTTTAACTTGTTTGAATTGAGGGATTTCACAAGGAATTTCAAATCTACATCCCCCATTTTTAGTTGTTTTTTGAGTAATTATGGTGGATTTCAAATGACTCCAAATTGAGGTCATTTCAAATCTCCTTCCCCAAATCAAACCCCTCCACCCAAATGGACTCTTATATGTATAAAAAAAGATGGTCATAAGCAAAAAAAAAATATTGTTGAATATTTTAATTTCTTATTTTCATCGTTCTCATTAGGGATGAAAATCGGATGGATCAGACCGAAATAATAAACACTTTCAAAATTAAAATGAAAAATATTGCTTCAAAATCTGAAAATTTTGTATCGAAATTTACGGAAATCGAAAATCCCATGCCAATTACCACCCTAAGTGAAACTATAACCATGGTATATTTTATTAGTTTAATAATTTTTTACATAAAATTTATGGTGTCTTGTGAAGTTAATGTACTTCGTTTGGTGAGAATTAATTTTAAGTTTAGCACTTTTGGTATGTTTTTTTTTAATGAAACGCGGGAGAGAGAGAGGTTCAAAATTATTGTTTGAATAAAGTTTGGGTTTTGCTCCAATAAATCACACGCCCCCCTCCCCGTAAAAATTAGCCCCCCACATAATAGAAGTGTAATCCCCAAATTACCCTCACTCGCACTCAACCTCTCCGACAAACCGAAAAACCATTTCACACACTAAACATTTAATCTCTCCCCCATCGGATATCCTTCTCTCCATGGAGAACCAGAACCAGAACTCCGGGCGGCGCCACCGCGAGCAATCGGCGACGAGTTCTCGGAGGAGCTTGAAGCGGAAACTCGACGAGGATTCCGGCGAAGATCGCGGCAGGATCGGCGGTGAATCGCCTTCCGATTCGCAGCAAGATCTCGTGACCGAAATTCGCACTCAAGTTGAGATCCTTGACTCCGTTGCCTCCTCCGCCGCCGAGCAGGATCGCGCGTCCGTCAAACGCGCAATTCACGTCCTGTCTGAGCTCGCCAAAAACGGTACTGGAGAAGTCGGAAAATTAGAATAAAAGATAAAAAAAAATCATAGGATTCGTTCAATTTTTCTGTTGTTCGTTTTTTGGTTCAGTGAGTTGTTTTTGTGCATGATTAATTGTTTCCTTCAGTCTGCATGTGCTGTATTTGAACTTTAGGGTTTTAATTGTGTTAATACTTTTGCGGCTGTGGTTGTAGAGGATATACTTAGTGCAGAAACTTGCCCTTTTTGTGTGAATTGTTTAATCAATTCGATTTTTTATGCCTGGGTAAGTCTTTTTAAGTTGTACTGGATTTTGAGTTTATGATTTGTGAGGGAATTATGCATGTGTGTTTGCAGAGGACATAGTGAATGCGATAGTGGACTGTGCGGCAGTTCCAGTTCTGGTAAAGCATCTAAAGGCTCCGCCGTTGGTGACAGAGATAGAAAGTGGTCCGAGGTTGTACGAGCACGAAGTGAGAAAGGAAGTGCCTTCACTCTGGACTCTAGCCATAG